CTTTCAATCCATGTCCGCCCAGAGGGTGGAGTCCGAGTAGCTCTCCAGCTTTTATCCTCCTTGGGAATGGGTGATCCTGTTGCTCTGGCATCTTGGGGTGCTGGGGTAAAGGAAGGGCTGAGAAGGGCCCTGAGAGTAGTGTTTTCTGTTCAGTCTTGAAGTGTTTCAGATGATCTTATTTCCCGAGATGCTTCGGTAGTATTCCAGAAAGTACCACACTGAAGGTTAGACCTCATTTGTGGTTAAATGTAATACTAGGTGGGAAATCAGCTCTCTCCATTAGGAATGGCTCATTCTGTTAATGGCTTTATCCAGGCCCAGCTGTGATGCTCCTCTGAATTTTCTTTCAGTGAAAAGATGCACAGAACCATCATTGCTTATTGAATTTGTCCCCTGAGGAGAGAAAAGTGCTTCTGCCTGTGTTTTAATTACAGCTCTTCACACGCCCCTGGACTAATTAAGGTTTGCTTTACTCCAAGGAAGGAGAACGCACATGTGGTTTTGCTTGTATCTTGGTGACTTGGGAAGAACCATGTAAATAATGCTCCCTTGTTTGTTCTTGGAGTAGTTGGTAGCATGGAGAGTTGCAAAGGTAATGGCAAAGCTGTTTGTTGTGGCCTGCATTTTCGTCCTGATACAGTCCTGCCTTCTTTTGAGCTGATTCTGCTTACACGCAGCATGAGGAACTTCCAGAGATTGAGCAGAGCAGCTTTTTGGAGAGAAGCCCTAAAGGGAAACTGTGATTAACATGACTGGGGAATTGTCTCCCGCAGTGAGCTCCTTGTGGAACTGGAAGAAAGTTCAGTTCTTTGCATCAGGAGCCTTGGGGTATACTACCTGTGGATACCCTGGATTCTTCTGATGGGGATGGAGGGAACAGAACCTTCTAAAACTGGCCCATTTTATAGAGACTTGGTAGAGACTTAGATAAATAAACATTCACTCCAGTCTTTGGTCTTCTTGTGCTAAATTATTTTATCACTCTGAAACCAGAGATACGAGAAGAATTCCATGTCCCCAGTAACATTTGAAGAGGGATGGTTTTCCTCTACAAACAGAATTCAGATATCTATCAACAGATTCAACCTCATTAAAGTACTTTATCACATTGCAAAGCAAAATGAAATGAATCTTTTGTTTTGTTTTTGGCTGCAGATGAAACACTAGGCCTAGATTTGGGGGAAAGAAACACAGTGCCTCAGTGCCTTAAACTTTTCTCATCAGCTTCATGAGTATTTGTTTAGCACCTCCTATGTACAAGTCCCTGTGCTGAATCTGTTGTTACTGGGAGTCACAGACACAACCCAAAATCTTCTGTTGAGGGGGAGGGGACCATAAAACAGACCCATTAGCAGAAGCTGAAAGGGAACATGGCAGGGGAAGGAGAGCAGACCTCAGGCTGCAGTGCTCAAGGAGGAAATAGGATTTTAACTGAACTGTGTGGGATAGGATTCTGAGAGCTGGAATCAACTAGAGAGCATTCTAGTTGAAAAGAATAAAATAATGGTTTTTGCCAAGATTTAGTATATTTAGCCTTACGTACCATGGCAGAATAAACATTATATATTTCATTTCACTGACATCATGACATGCTTCTGAGGCAAGAACAGAAAGGTTAATCCCACTTGAGGAGGAGGGACCTGAGGCTCGAAGGACCTTACCCAAGGTTCCCTAGCTCATAGCAGGCTCTCGCCCTTTGACCTCAGTGGTGATTAAGGAAAGGTGTACTTGGAGAGCGGGAAGAGGTGTGATTTGACTGTAGGTAAGAGAGGAGCAAAAGATAAGCTCATGGTTTATGGTAGAATGTGAATACTTGAACATTGCACCTTGGATTTGCGGCTTCATTCTGAAGGCAATGATGAATCTTTGAAGAGTTTTGAACATGGAATTACTGGTTTGAGAGGCTCAGCAGCCCCAGTAAAAGTGGTACATGACAGTAGCCATGGAGGGAATGTTACAGGGAAGTTTGGGGTTCTCCTGCAGGTACAGGAGGAATGGCTGTCTTAGGCGAACAGCAGGGCCACCACACGAGCAGCTTCCAGTGTGTGGTTTATGTGTCAGTACTCAAAGGGCTCACCACCCAGGGTTGAGTTCTTATTCTCCAAAGACAGCATTTTACATAGGGATTTTCTCATTTATTGGGGGCGATGGGAAAGAGCAAATGGATTTTCAAGGTAATCCCAGCTGGATTCTTTCTGGAAGACAAAAGAAGGGAAACATGCCAGAGGAGTCCTTCGGCTAAGTTAGCAGGAGCCCCTCAGTCTGTGCCCATCCTTGGGGTTGAGGCATCAAAAGGCTTACTAGGGAGCAGTTGTCCTTTTCTTCCCCAGGGAGCTCCTTGCTTTCCCACTCCCACCAAGGTATACATTCACGATCACAGTCATCCATACCCATCTGTGTGCATGCACAGTGAGCCATCCTGTTATAAATCGATGAAAGCAAAACCAACATAGGACATTGCAGGACACCATAAACCAAAGTGGGAGCTGAGCTGGGGGAAACAGTGATGGAAGGTCCTAGAATATAGTACTTTTAAGATGGTAAAATTTCAGAAGACAGCCTAATGAAGATAATCATGTTAGTGAGTTTCAAGTGCACAGATTTAACTTCCTGGAAACTTTACTGTGCCAGCCTATGGAGCCTCATCTTTTCCCTTCCTCTATCTCAGACCACAGAAGGTAGTTCATCACTTCCCTCCTGGGGTGAAAAGAAGGGCAGTGAAGGACAGTGAGCCTGGATACCACATCCTTCTCCACCCATGTCTCCTGAGGACACCATGACAGCCTCCTCCCACCCCAACTTCCTGGTCTGCTTTTTGGCAGTACTGGGGTTAGAACTCAACATATCATGCTTGAGCCACAACTGAGCCCTTCCTGACCCACTTTTGACTCAGGCTTTGCATCTTGAATTTTAGAACTTCTGATATCTGCATGCAACCTACTTTACTAGCCCTGACTTAGGCAGGGCATGAGACCAAAAAGATAATACACTTTCTAATAAATTACCCTGTGAGTCCTGGTCTTTCAGAGATATGAGATACTCTAGAGCTGTGCAGTCTGTTTTCAAGTCCCAGCATAAAAATTATTGAAAAATTAGAAAACTATTAGTGATAATTTAGACTGGCCTCATCTTTTGACAGTGAAAATGACCCACAGGAGTTAGCTGCTTTCCTCAGATTCTGGGCCTCCCACTGTGCTTTGCATCATAAAATGATGTTTCTCTGCTGTGTCAGACAGCACTCCAAATCCCTGTGCTGTTCTTTGGTCAAGAAAACCTTATTAACGCTTAATGCTTCCTTGTGTGTAGAAGGCAATAAAGCAGACGGAAAACAGCAAAAAGGAAGTTAGAAGAAACATCAGATGCTAAGCTAGGTGTTGATATGAGTGCAAAGGCCACGCCCACAGCTGGCATCTATTTCTGAGGTCAGACTGACTGGATGGAAATTTAACAGTACGTCCTCAGACCTTTGTCTGAACCTGCCACTCCCTGGAGGGAGTCTGCATTGCTCACCCAGCCGAACTCCTATACTCAAGGGCAGCTGTTGTCTCTTGGGTACTGTGTTCTCTTTCCTAAAACACTATTGATAGGCACACTGTTTCTTAGTTGAAGCTCAAAACCACTGGTTCCCAGGCTGAGTTACCTCTCCAGGCTGGAATTACCTGGAGAGTTTTGTAAGAGGCTCCTTTCATGGTCAGGTGATTCTGCGATGCAGCTAGAATGGAAACCACAGCTGCAATCTAGGGGTTTTCAAACTTCAGTGGCTTCAGAAGCCTAGTTATTACACACTAGGCTTCCAACCCCGAAATTTCTGTTTCACAAAATCTAGGGTGGGGCATGAGACTAACAAGTTCCTGAGGCGATGTTGGAACTGAGTGTCGGGAACACACTTTGAAAGTCACAGCATTAGAGTCTCAACAGGGTGTGTGAGTACTTTGAGGCCTAGCCTGATGGTCTGTCCTAGAGTTTAGATCCTAAAGGTGTGGGGTTGGAGTCAAGAATGCATTTCTAGAAGTTTCCTTGTGATGCTGCCAGATAGGGTACCACACTTTGAGAGCCAGTGGTGTTATTTGGAACATGGCAGATAGACAGTGTAGAAATACACACTCACATCGAGTTAGAGTTTCCCTCTGGACCATTACTGTGGGTCCCTCGGCCTGTCTTAAGCTGTTGCATCTCATTGTGTGTCAGTGAGGAATCAAGCCCCCTCCAGTGACCTGGGAAAAAACTGCAGGGCGATGACACAGAGCTTGTACCTCAGTCTGGTCCTGTTCTGCAGGTGAGTTCTGAGGTATGGCGCAGTTTCCTCAGTCTGCAGAAGTCTAGTCCATGGGTCCAGAAGATAACACAGTAACAGGAAGTGACAAGGAATACGAAGTTGGACTGAATTATCCCTGGGCCTGTAGCATCATTCTCAAAGTGTGGTCCCCAGACCAGCGGCCTTGGTATTAGCATCCTGGGACCTTGTTTAAAATACAAATTCTTGGACCCCAAGGTGTACTTGCTGGGTTAGAAATGTCCTGCTTTCCTGAGCAATCTGTATCTAACGAGCTCGTTAGGTGGTTTTGACACTGCACACTCGAGGAGGAGGTGCCCTCGCTTGGGAAAGCAGCTCAATCTGTTGGGGGCAGGATGGTATGCATTCTGCATTTGGATTAGTCTGGGCCCTTGAGGGAGAACCAAGAGGGTAGTGATATGGGGTTTCCCAATTTCACCAGGAGGGTCTCTGAAGGCCTGGGGTGACTCCCAAGTCCCCCACTTAAATCTGCCAACATGCTCACCCTTTGAGCAGTTCAGACGTTCTCTTCAGCCAGGCATGCTGGGGTATACTGTGATGCCAGCATTTGGGAGATTGAGAGGAGAGAATCACAAATTCTGGACCAGCCTGGCTACGTTGTGAGACTTGTCTCCAACAACAACAGCGTTTGCTTTCTTCACTAGTGAAGTGGACTCTAGGCTTTCCCTGGTTCTACGTGGTGGCTAACTGGTGCTCTCTTTTCCAGTTAGTGACGGGAGTATGGGAGGGCAAGTACAACTTCTTCTGCCAGGGCACGCGCAGTGCGGGAGAATCAGACATGAAGGTAGGTCTCTCTTCAACAATTCTTAGATATGTGTGGTTTTCGTTTTATTTTTAATAAAGAAATTATACAAAAGACACAGACTACAACCTCTCTACCAAGTAAGCTCTAAGGAAGAGCCACGTGTACAGCACATGCTATGAAAATTTGAATGTGAAAACAGGAGCGTCCCTCACTGCAAAAATAAATCCTGTGAAGAGTTGATGAGGAAAATTGCATGTATTTTATCAGGTTTTTTATTTACATAAATGAGATCATAAGGATAAAGTCTTTAAATTTTTTAAATCACTTTTGTAAATGCCCTGAGTAGTGGTATTAAAGATAGAACCCAACCCAACTTACACTCTGAGGTGTTTATTGGTGGTACTGGGGTTTGAACTCAGGGCTTCACACTTGTTAGGCAGGCTCTCTACTGCTTGAACCATACCTCTAGCCCTTTTGGCTCTAGTTAGTTTGAGGACAGGGCCTTGTTATTCTCCTAGGTGGGCCTGGACCACAATCTTCCTATTTTATACTTCCTAATGTTGCTGGGATGACAGGTGTGTGCCACTGTGCCCAGCTACTGGTTGAGATTGGGGTCTCTCAAACTTTTTGTCCTTCTTGTCCTCAAACCACAGCCCTCCTGATCTCAGTCTCCCAAGTAGCTAGGATTACAGGCGTGAGCTACTGGCACCTGGTTTTTTTTTGTTGTTGTTGTTTCTTTGTTTTCTGAAGAACAGCTGATGGCCAAAGCTCAGCATGGGCACACGTCTCCTTGGAGCATCACTTGGACATATCAGTTGGCAGGGATTGCTCCTTTTCTCCTGTGTCTTACATTACCTGTCCCATGCCAGATGCTGGAAGCAAAAGCATCTTTTGGGTGGCGTTTCTCTACTGACAGACTGTTTGGAACCTTCAGCTTCCTGTTCTTGATAGGGCATAGAAGAGTGTGGGGCCCTTGGAAGCCTTTCTCTGCTGTCTTTCACCGCCCATCCCACCACACCGTGTTCTTTGGTTAAAGGCACCGAGCAGCCAGAGCTTCCAGCGCCTGCAGAATGTTAGGAGCCAGGGTGCTTGGGCTTTTCTGGGTTGGTGCTGGATTCTGGGATGTTGGTAACATGTCAGAGGCAATATTCCAGAGAAGCATTGAGGGGATGAAACCTTAAATCCTTTGACCTCTTCCTCTTAGATCATCCAGGTCCTCTGGTGGTACTACTTCTCCAAACTCATAGAATTCATGGACACGTTCTTTTTCATCCTGCGCAAGAACAACCACCAGATCACAGTCCTGCATGTCTACCACCACGCCTCCATGCTCAACATTTGGTGGTTTGTGATGAACTGGGTCCCCTGCGGCCACTGTAAGTACCACGGAGGGCGCCTCGGGAGCACTTGTGAGCAGAGAGGCTCAGTGGAAGCCGAGGCTTTCAAAAAAGTGCTGTTGATTTCTAGGTCAAGCTTTTGAACTTTGTGTCCAGGTGGCTTTCATGATCGTTTTATGGCCTGCACCCAACAAAACCTTTTTCTGATAAATGCCCTGTGCTGATTTGGGTGAGAGGAGGGAGATAGTAGCCTGAGGCATGTTAAGAAATAAGGACGTTTTCCATCATCGAGGGCAGCTTGTTTCTGGTTCTTTCTAAATCCTTTTCTGCTGGGTTTGGGAAGTGTTTGCTGCAGGGCACACCAGGAAAATGCAATCATACCATCAAGTGAGTACCAGGGAATATGGCTGGTAGGGAATATGGCTGGTTGTAAAATACAACATTAGCTATGTGGTGCATTAGGAAGCCTCCACATACTCTAATGAAGTGTGGCTAACAGGGCCACTTCTATGATACGCACCAAAATTTGATACAAATTCTCCAAGTTGGAGCTGATTTTTGGAACACAGTGCTATAAAGTTATAATTTTCAGAGATTAAGTTGTCACCCTAAGGCTCAATTTGGGAACTTTAACAAATGTCTCAGTCACAGTTTTTGTCATCTGGCCTTGGAGAATTGGACTGAGCACCTTTTGGTCTATTCCCGGATCATTTTCTTCCTTGATTAACTGCCCTTGATTAACAACCACCAACATCCATAGCCAGAAAGCTGCAGAGCTAGAAAGGACTTTCCAAATACAGCTCCTTTGGGCTTGGGAGGACACTTAAGAGCCTGGAAGTTGGCTGAGCTCCTTTCCTCCCTAGTGTTTTCCCCATCACACCTCATGACTGTGGATTGATTGACAATTCTAATAGACACAGCCCCTCCTTATACTTGAAGAGTCCTGTAATTTTTGAAAAATCCTGTAGGACGAGTAACCCCACCTGGCCCCTGATAAACTGAGTCAGAGAATGGACATAACTAGTCTAAGGCCACATATCCAGCAGCAGACACCCTTCGCTAACACCAGCCCTGTATGTCTCTAGCTGCTCATGGAAGAGCCAACAGCTGGTTTCATTGTTCTCTGCCGAAGAGGACAGAGAGAGTGAAAAAAACTAGAGGTCCTTCTGGAAAAGAAAGTCATATGATCAGATGAGTCTTTCATCCCTAAGAAACTGACTCTGGATCCTGTTATAGATAGCATGGCTTCAGCACTACAGTCCTGGGGAATAATTAGGAGGTGACTCCACAGGCCTCTCCAAACCTCAGCCAGTGTGTGGAAACAGCTTGCTCTGAGCACCTTGCCCATAAGTTGTCTTCCCCCAGCCTTCAGAATAGCACACCTGAGGCAGCTGGCATGGAAGCAAAAGCAGCTGCCTCTGGGAAATGGAGGGAGTCTGGGAGCCAAGCCTGAAGGTACCAGAGTGGGGCACATGGCAGCTCTAACTGACTCCTGGGCATCAGGCATCGTGGTGACTGCCTGCCCACACAAAGATTGAATTCTCACCACACTTCCATGCAGCTTCCAGCTGCAGTGTTTGCCATGCTCTGTTCAAAAGCATCTCACTTCTTTATTCAAAAAGTATCTTGGATTTTTTTTTCACCTGTTGTGCATAAAGTGCTAATTCATCCTCCTCCGAAATCCTCTGTTCTGCAGCTTACTTTGGTGCCACACTTAACAGCTTCATCCATGTCCTCATGTACTCGTACTATGGTCTGTCTTCTGTCCCCTCCATGCGTCCGTACCTCTGGTGGAAGAAGTACATCACTCAGGGGCAGCTGGTAAGTGACTTGCACCCTGCTGGACATAGCCCTCTTCCTGAACTTACTGTTTGATAGGCTCTGAGATGTCCCTTTCCCATTTGACCGAGCCCTTGCAGTAGACAGGTCAGCATGTTCCTACTTTAATCATAGAAAAACTGCCCATGGGCACACAGCAAGTTGAATTGTAGAATGAGGACTTGAGTCTCATCTCTAGCTTCATGCTCAGTTCTTTGTTCTTACTATGAGTATATAAGCACATATGTGCACACATGTGTATGTGTGTGTATGTTCTATTGTCCAAAATCCAAGCCTGAAACTGTTCATCTGTGATCCCAGGAGTTTCAGATGGAGCTGTGGAGTCATTCGAGTTTATTAGGCAGTGAGGAAATTGACTAGGACAGTACCAGGTGGCCCCTTGGCCATCTGTAGCAGAGCACCTGTTGGTGAGAATGGCTCCTGTTTCTTCAGATAGCAGGGACAGGGCAACAACTGTTTGCACTTGATAGTTATTTCTCCCCATCTTTTCTTAAGTGTTCCCAGTTGTCAGCATATCACAGAGGCCTGTTCCTCCCCTCCTGAATTCCTTTGTGAGCTAATTATTGATGCTACTACTAATGAGAAACACTGATATTTATTAACTGCAGGCACATGTCAGCACTCATGCTAAAACCATTTTGCATGGAGTATTCTAGAGCCAGATTATTTCCCCGTTTTGTAGATGAGAACACTGAGAAGTTGGCCAAACTAGCCGATGGGGGGCTCTCGACATTAAACCCTCAGCCCTTGCCTTACCTTATAAGAATATTTTCCCAAACAAGCCAAGCTGATTCAGATCCCTGTGAGTCAGTTACGGTTTTTCAATATTTAAAGAATAACAAGCTGAGAAAATCTGAGCCACTTGTATGTTTGACGTTTTCATTCTCACCTCTACCAACTGCTGTACAGTCCTTGTTAATTTTCCTCACCCACCATGAGGAAGGTAATTGTTCTCAAACCTCCTTGTTATACTTGGAGGGACGATGCCTTGCCTCTGGCAGAAGCAGAGCATGAAAGAACAGGTGTGGGAGGTGATCTCCCATTAATCCTGTGCCTCAAGGTAGAATATTGTACCCAGTCTGTCTGGATTTTAAGCACCACTCATAGTTACTTCCCAACCTAGAGTACTAACCTTAAAAAAAGAGAGAGAGAAGACTGTCCACATAGAAATGTTGGAAGCTGAAATCCAATGGGCAGACCTTGCTCCCTCTGTTGTGCCTTTTAACACCCACAAGCCCAGCTTGCTCTTCAAGGTTCACTCATCAGAAGTCATCTGTGGACTTAGCATTATTTGCCAAGAAGAGGTTAAATCTACTTACCAGCGTTCACCACACGAAAGCATACATGGATGAGGACTAGAAAGAACATCTAAGCTTACTGTACATCACCAAGCCCTTGAAGAACACACCCTCACCCTTCCTTCCTAAACTTTTTATAACGAGCCTTTCATCTGTCTAGACTGTGTTCTTGAGGTTTGGAGAAGGGGGTTTAAGTAGCTTGGAGGGAAGAGGGAGAACGTATAGAAGAGACACACGCACAGAGTTTGTGGTAAATGTTGTTCATGCGTTGTGGTTATGAAATACTGAACTTAACAGAAAGATTGGCAAATGTTGATTGTGAAATTTAGGGGTGCTGGGTGCACGGTCTGTCTGGCACTGGACCTTGTCTGTGCACTGTTGCTGCTCAGCTCTGTCCTTTTCTCTCCTCCCAGATTCAGTTCGTGCTGACAATCATCCAGACCAGCTGTGGGGTCCTCTGGCCGTGCTCTTTCCCTCTGGGATGGTTGTATTTCCAGATTGGATACATGATTTCCCTAATCGCTCTCTTCACAAACTTCTACATTCAGGTAAATCTCACCCTTCACTGGTTTCTGGTATTCTGGGGGCCCTTCTAACACAGGCCTCATCCGTTCAATTAATAGGGATGGAGTCCCTGCTGGATGCCAGCTCTAATGAAGATGAGTTAGTGGGGATGGAGGGAGGAGTGGCTCATATCTGCTGTAGATTCTGGGCCAGAATTCTTGGGATTCATATAGAAATGCAAAACTGTGTGGCAGGGTACTGTGTTGCTCCTGCTGACCTGTTGGGCACACATGAGTTGATTTTTTTTCTTTAGTGTTGGAGTTTAAACTCAGGGCCTCACTGTTGCTAGACAGGCACTCTACTACTTGAGCCACACCCCCAACCCTTTTTACTTTAATTACTTTTATTTTTATTTGTTTATTTGGCGCTACTGAAGTTTGAACTCAGGTCCTCAGGCTTGCTGTGCAAACACTCTCACTCGAACCACACCCCCAGCCCTGCTTCAGTTACCTTGGAGATAGGGTCTCCATCTCTTGGCCTGGCTGGCCTCAGACTGTGATTTTCTTACACCTCTCACATAGCTGTGATCATAGGTATGCATTACCACACCAAGACCATAAGGTTATTTTCTTTTTAAAAAAAAATTAGAATAGATTAGTTGTACGGGGATTTCATTGTAAATTTACAACTGTGCTTACAATGAAGCTTAATTAGATTCACTCCATCCATCATTTTCCCTATCTACTCTTCTTAGAACAATTTCGGCAGGTTTCACTGTTCCGTTTTCTCACATGTGTGCAAAGTATACTGACCATATTCACCCTCCTTCATCCTCTCCGTTTACCCTCCCCTGGACAGGACTCGTTTTGCCTTCCTGTCCTTTATTCTTTTAAGTGTATATTGATCTGCAAGAGGGTTTCACCTTGGTTCTTCACACATGTATATACTATCCTTTAATCAGACTAACCCCCATTTCTCTTTATCACCTTGCTCCCCTGTTCAATAGCTTACAACAAATTTCATTAAACTATTCTCATACACAGATGCAATGTATTTCAATAGTATTCATTCTCTATTGTTCTCTTTCCTCTCCTGCCTTCCCGTACCCTCTCAGATAGGCCCACTATTACAATCATACTGTCTCTGTAAGAGGTGATTTTCTGCTACCTGGCATTATTATGGCTAAATGAAATGTCAGAGGAAATGTCCATCACGATCCCCCGATATGGCTACAGATCTTAGGGGCTTTTTTAATCCTAGTTTTCTTACACATCCGGTGCTCTAGTTTGAGGGGTTCAGTTCATCTACATGATGTGCTGATGTAAGTTTCTCTTCATATAATGATTATGGCAGGCAACACTGATTTTCCTGCCCCCAGTCACTCCTGGATGACTTGCGTTCCTGCTTTTGTGGCCAGTGCCTGGTAGTTGCGCTGCACACTGATCTGAGGAAGACCCAGGAGATCAGGAGCAAGGACAGAGGCCATGGGGCCTGAGGAGGGAAGCCCAGCAGTATGCAGCAGCCGCTGAGCCTCTCCGTGGCTTGTGGGGTTCACAGACTTCTGGCCTTTAGAGTTCATGGTCTACGCTGTGGACCATGCGCCAACTAATTTGGCCACATAGCTCCTGTCCTCTGCCATCCAGATACTAAAAAGGCAACATGGAATGAGTACAAGTTGAGTTTTCTGTGCAGTGCTTTAAATGGCATTTCTGTTGTAGCCTGTGATTCAGAGAACTAACCTCAGGCTAAGCCTCAAAACACCAGAGAAGTGATTGAAACCAGTGGCCAAAGTTTACTCATGGTTACTTAACCACAGGAGTAGGTGTTGAGAAGCTTTTATCATAAAAGAAAACGAGGCCTAGTTAGAGATGCAGTTCCCAGTGAAGTCCCCCTGGTCCGTGGCTTTCATCTGCCCTTATGCATTGCAGACTTACAACAAGAAGGGGGCCTCTCGGAGGAGAGACCACCTAAAGGACCACCTGAACGGGTCTGCGACTGTTGTGAACGGACACACCAACACCTTCTCTTCCCTGGAAAACAATGTGAAGCCCCGGAAGCAGCGAAAGGATTGAAGCGGCAGAGCTGAGAACATGCAGACCCCACCATGTGATCGTAAGCACAATTGTGTTGTGCCTGACGCTCCTTAACAGCTGCTGGAACTAGTCCAGTCTACAATAGTGTGATTCATGTAGGACTTTTTCATCAGTTCAAAACCCTCGAATACGTCACAGATTATACAAGTAGGCATAAGATTTCTCACATTTCTGGGCTCTCATTGACCCCCCGCGCTAGACTGTGGAAAGGGAGTATATTGTAGTATATGACACTGCTGTTGCCTTATTAGTTATAACATGATAGGTGCTGAATTGTGGTTCACAATTTAAAAACACTGTAATCCAGACCCTTTTTTTTTTTAAACTGTAGATCATGCATGTGATTGTAAATGTAAATTTGTATAATGTTGTTACAGTAGAAAAACACACATGCCTTAAAATTTAAAAAGCAGGGCCCAAAGCTTATTAGTTTAATTAGGGTATGTTTCAAGTTTGTATTCATTTGTAATAGTTCTGTTCAGAAAAATCAAAGACCATGATTTATGAAATGAATGTGAGATACGTAACTTCAAGTGGACTTGTAGATGCAAAGTCAGAAACGGCACCTTCAGTTTTGTAATGCTGGCTTTCAATCCAGCAGGCTCAAATCTGGTGGAACAGTCAGTTTAACTTTTTAACAGATCTTATTTTTTTATTTTGAGTGCCACTATTAATAATGTAAAAAAAAAAAAAAGCAGAGAGAGGAACTCTAAAGCAGTCTTGGTGAAACTTAAACATATATTCTTTGTCCTCAAGATTCTAGGAAGAGTGTAGGGTACATAGGCCATTTTTAATTTCAGAAGCGCTAAGTGGATTTATACAGGGAACAAAAAGTCCATTTTGCTTTCCACCTGTGCAAGAGAGGATATGCACTTTCCAGGAGAGGTGTTGAATGTCAACCATTTGACAGAGTCCCTTAGATGAACAATGGGGAGCTGGTTACTGGGGTCCAAATTTGGATTGGTTTCCATACTGCTATCTGTTTTGACACAAATTCCTTTTAAATGTGCCTAATTTACCAGAATTTGCAAAGGAAGAAGAAAGAACCTTTAAAAAAAACTAAGGTAAAATTAAACAGATAGTACAGCATAAGAGATCTGGGCAGTTGGACAGTGATACCTTGTTTAATGTAAGTCTTTTAGCATCTGTAATTTTCTTCTGCTTAGAATCTAAAGATTTGTTTAGATCCGCTTAAGAGTAATAGACTGCTTGTCGTAAAGTCATGTCTCACACACTTGAGGCAGTGGTCAAACAGGTAAGGACTATTACGTGTATCATTTTAAAGTGTTAGAGTTTAGCCTCTGAATATCTTCTCCATTGGAAAAAAAAAAATTCATTGAACCACTAGTGACACATCTTACAGAAGGTCATTGACAATGTATAAACTAGTTGTGGGTTTGATATTTATGTAAATATCAGTTTACCATGCTTTAATTTTGCACATTCATGTTACAAGGAGCCTGCGGGTTCTCTTACTAGTCTTGTGGGTTTTCTGTTTGGAAGGAGTCACAGCATCTGTTTACACTTACCTTATCAAACCTAGAATGTGTATATTTGTAAATGTATGTCCTCATTCCTAGGTACTAGTTTGCAGATGTCTTTCCATTCTTCAGTACAGAAACTATAACACTCACTAGTGTGCTGTCAAAGTGTGCTTAGCTCATCTGGATACACCCGCACTGTCAAATAATGTCTAAGCATTAGTCATTAAAGCATTTTTGATTACCAGTGCTCGTGTTTCACATTGTTGATGTAATGCCAGTTCTCAAAGATGAAGAAAAAAAATCCACATTCTTTACTCTGTGGAATTTATTAAATTCATCAGGATGTAAGTTTATATGATCGCTCACTTTCTGTGAAGAAGGACCTCACCCGATAAGGCTCAGTGGCCTTCCCACCCTAGCCTACTTCTTTACTCTCTGCCCTCTCCACGCCTCCCCACTAAAGGTCCCAGTTCCAAGGACATTCCTTAACGCTCCCTGCCTTTGCTTCCACTCTCTCCCCTCACCTGCAGGCTTACTTTCCTAGGTCTAGACTACAGGTCTGCAGATTTTTCCTGCAAAAAGCCAGATAGAAAACATTTTAGGCTTCATGAGGGTCTGGCGATGTTCTAAAACAGCTTTGTGTGCAAACAGAAGACCTTGGCCCTAGTTGGCTGACCTCTGCACTGGAGTATGAGATTCCTTCTTGGTCCCAAACCTCCATCGCTTTCTTTGCCAAAAACCACTTCATATTCCAGATCTGGCCCCTCCCACTCTACTCTGGCCCATCTGAATTCACAGTCCTTGCGTGTCCACAATGCAAGGAATGGGATGAGTGTCCCATCTCCCTTCTGTTCTATTTATCCCACCCAGGCCCCCGTATGGGCATGGGCGGCTTCAAGTTTGTAAATATCACCTTAGAACAACATCTGAAATTGCATTTAGTATTTGTGATACGAAAAGGTGCCAGAGGATTGTTGGGGTCAGTGGTAATAATCATACCCCTGTCTTTCCCCTCTTAAGTTCAGAGCAAAGTGGAAAAAAGTAAAGCATAAATCAGAGCAATAGAAATCAAAAATAGTAAATGTCTTACTGAAAAGACTGGACTGGTGAGAATAAGACCACAACATGGCTCTCTAGTTATTCTAGCTGATAACCCTACTAAGTTAAACTCACCAGGGCTGGCAGTAGCACAACCAATGCTGGTTTTTATTTTTGGCCCGTTGATGAACTAACTGGTTATTAAAATATTTGGAAAATCAGCCCTGAAATTTGCACCAGCTCCCCTTGCAGTTACAGATTTTATCCTGCTGACCTGACCACACCAACATAGAAATGCTCAGTTGCTGAGACCTCCCAGTCTCCTCAGTCCATGTGTCTCCTCCCTCGTGAAGAATGAGTGGGTGAAAGGACAACATGAGGCCAGGCTGCCCCTGCACCTTTCCTTTTCTGTTTAGAAAGATGAGCTCACTCATCTGGGCAGAAAAGAAGAACTCCTAGCTCCCTTCTGTTTCCAGCAGCCTTGTTACTCAAATGGAAAGGCAGTGGAGCCTCATGTAAGAAGTACAACTTCACTACAAGTGGTGATTTAAGACTGAGGATAGTAGGCCTGGAGCACTTGCCTGATATTTGCAAGATCTACATTTGATCCCTGGCACCAAGAAAAAGGTAGGGTGCTCAGTGTACCCTACTTGTCTCTTTCAACTGTAAGCTGTTGTTTTACTGTTACTTCCCTGGTTGGCTGCACTAGTAATCCTATCCAAAAAAGGGAAGGGAATTTGGAGTGGTATTCTTTCTGTTGAATCAGAGTTGAAAAGAAAGGAATCAAAATATTCATCATCTACTCCCTGATTTGTCAGAGGTGTTTTTTGTTTTTATTTTATTCACCTTTCTAGAATCTACTTTCTTTTCCCTTTGAAAACAGAATAGCATTTGTTGGTCTCTGGTCATCCGTTCATTATTTCTCAAGAGTTATGATGGTCACATCCTCAGTTTCTCAGTGCTGAGACTGTTTTTGCATGAACTCAGTCAAACATAGATGTCCCACTCTCCCTCATCAGTCCTGGACTTCAAATCCGGACCAGATTTTCTTAATTTGGAGATTATTGTCCTCAGAGGAGAAATAGGAACAAAACAGTGGTTGCTGTAAATTGTTCTCTGGTCTTATCATTGTGCCATTGGTCACTAGTTCTTTCTCCCGACATAGATTTAAAACCCATTTGTCATCCTTTTCAAGTTTTTTATATGTCAGTTGTACAAAATAATGGGTTTCGTTATGACATCTTTACACATGCATATAATGTACTTTGATCACTTTCGTCCTCCAATGACGTCTTTATGACCTTCATCTCTTTTCTCCAGTATGTTTATGGCTCTCACCTGAAGGGAGAAATTTCCCAGGCCCATGGTTGCCCTCGTCTTCATGGAACATCTAGACTTGGCACTTGGTCTAAGGTCATGGAAGACTTCCAGGGTGAAGTTGTAGGAACAAGCAATATGGACCCAGTGAAGTAATAGCGTACTGGTGGCAGAGAGCCAATGTATGGTTGACAATAAATGTCCCCTTTCTGACTCTGTAGCCCATTTGTGTTGCTGTGTTGGCCAGACCTTTGCAGAATGCTCATTGGGAGGGCTTAGCCTAGAGGACTGGACTAGGTGGACCAAGCAGACAGGGATCTCTGAGAAATTAATTCAGTCCCCAGAGGAACTTTTGCTCAAGGGATCAAACACAGATGCCTTCAGCATAGGACACTTTGTGGCGAGTGACATGATATTCATATAAGCCAACTTCTGAGAGTCCAGGGAGGGAGACCTCTTCTAGCAAGGGTAATTAAGGAAAGCTCTGAAGGAGTTGGCCTTTAATCTGAGCCTTGAAAGACCATGTGGGTTTCCGGTAGATGGAGGTTGGAGGTGGTCTGGGAGACAGCATTCCAAGTTCAGGAACCAAATGTGCACAGGCGGAGACAGACATCGCACTTGACACTGGATGTGTGGGTAAAAGTGCTTGTTTTTAAAATTAAGAGGTAAAGTGGGAGGTGGAGTTTGTCTGAATGTTCTCATTGAAGAAATGTGTAGAAGCTTGCTCAGCACTTCCAAGGGGAAGTGGTAATTATGCCATGGGAACAGCATTCCCAGCTGTGCCTACCGTAGCTCTCCTGCTGTGCTATGCTCACCAGCAGTCCTTTGAGAAGCACGAAGCTGGTGGCGATGAGAGTTAGACTTGCTTCCCTCTCAGTTGTAAACTAATGGAAGTCGTCTCTTAGAGCCAGAAATTTTCTTCTAAACTGAAGAGGGCACTTGAAGTCTGAAAATGTGGGCACCTGAGGAATGGGTCCTTGTTTGCAAGCTACCTTCCACATTAACAAAAACATTCTTCAGTGATTATGTCAACACACTACTGGTGTTCTTTGTTCAAAGAATGGGCATAGATGTGGATTTCCCTTGGCAAATGGATTGGCAGTGTTTTACCCAAGCGAGAGCTTTTCAGCAAGTTGTGGGCCTCCCTCTTGCCCAGTGAAATGGGCATGTCTTTGTAGCAAAGCATCTGTGCCAGGTTCCAGCCATCTGTGCTCCTGGAAGAAGGCTGTATAGTCAGTCATGTTGACCAAATCCCACCTGCCTGCTCCTTGTACCCTTCGTTTAGAGCTCTGGCCCTCTGCTCTAAGGGCACTGAGAGTGTGGAAAGCCAAATCCCAAATACAGCTTTCCCAATGGGAGTGAAAGGGAAATTGTGATGGCCCCAACCTAGGCTCTGAATTACACCCTTATTTTAGAGCTGGACATATCTCAGGGCACAGACAGAACACTCCTGTCTATGCTAGAAGGTGTCCAAGTGTGTTTGGTGACTACCTGGTGTAACTGTTACAGTAGAGACTTTGCTACTTACCACTGTGGGATCGTAAGCAAGTTACCTCCCATTTCTTAACCTCAGTTTTCCTTAGTTGTAAAAGAGATGAATGCCTAAGGTAAATACAGAAACATAAGTTTTTAATATCCAGCTTTACATTAAGTCATTATCATCAAGGGTCATTTACCAAATAGGTAAGTAGACAGAAGGTGGCACACATTGGTTGATTTTGCATCAGATTTGAAATTCTATTGGTTAACATATTTCTACTCAATTCTTGGCTGAAGCTCACTTAATACTACCTTTTAGTATGGGAACTCAAATTTCTCAAAAAATATGAATGAATTTAGATACCTTACGTTTAATCAGGGCATAATAGCTGAAGCCTGTAATCAGGAGGTGGTGATGAGGAGGATGGGAGTGTGAGGCCAACCAAGGCAAAAAGTTCATGAGACCCTATGTTTTTCTTTTTGGTGGTACTGGGGTTTGAACTCAGGGTCTCATGCTTGCTAGGCAGGTGCTCTACCACTTGAGCCACGCTGCCAACCCTCAATTTTTCATTTAAATCCATATCTTACACTATTGCTTCCACAATATATATTCACATACATATATACACACACATGTATCTATATATATATACATATATATTTGTGGTACTGGTGTTTGAACTCAAGACCATCATGCACGCTAGGCAGGCGCTCTACCACTTGAGCCACTCCACAGCACTTTTTTGTGTTGGGTATTTTCAAGATAGGGTCTCAGAGAACTATTTGCCCAGGCTGGCCTCAAACCGAGATCCTCCTGATCTCTGCCTCCTGAGTAGCTAGGATTACAGGTGTTAGCCACCGATGCCTGGCCTGAGATCTCATATTAATCAATGGCTGGACACAGTGATGCATGCCTGTCTTCCCAGCTACATGAGGAAGGACAAAAAGGAGGATTGCAGGGAATAAAGTGAGACACTATCTCAAAAATAACCAACACAAAGGGCTGGCAGAGTGGTTCAAGTAGTAGACCAGCTGCCTAGCCAAGTGCAAAGATCTGCATTCAAACCCCAGTACTGCAGAGAGAGAGAGAGGAGATGAGACAGATCTTAAACTTAAAATATGTTCATATGAGAATTGTCTAATCATAAATGGTCCGTCAAAAAGAGAGCATCTGCTCCTGCAGTAACTGGCGTGTAGTTCTGGTCAGGTGCATGTTGACTCTGGAGGTCTCTCACCCACAAATGAGGGGTTATGGGAGTATTCCAGTTATACCTGTCTCGAATATTCTGTGATTCCAAAGTGGGACTCTCACACAGCCCTAGTTTGCTTCTAGCTCCCTTTCTTACAGGGTGCTGACAAGGAATTGAGCACATTTCCCATGCATCTCTAAGGCTAGACTTTGAGCACAACATA